CGGAGCGAAAAAGCGAATTGTTAAGACGGCAACTAAGGCATATAGAGGCTGCTTCAGCCTAGGCATAAGTATTAAAGTAAGTCTCTTGCAACATAGGTTCGGCATTTCCCGAACGAGCACAGGATATCAGCATCATACCAAATATTGGTAACAAATCGGTTCGCTCAAGCATGCCTGAATCCTACCTCGTCATTGGAGGGAGCGGTTTTCTCGGACGGTACATTGTTGAGGCATTGCTTGCTAGGGGTGACAAAAATGTTGCTGTCTTTGACGTGGTCCAACGGCACTTTGATGTCACATTTTATAATGGTGATTTGACCAACGAAGTCGAGGTTGGAAATGCCATCCGAAAGGTACGTCAATTATAATCGAGACTAGAAAAGTTTTCACTCTTCATAATGCATCTCACTCAGAGCGCAGCTACGTGCATATTCCATACTGCAACACCATCGCCAACTGCAATCAACCAAAACCAAGACATCTTTTACAAAGTGAACGTTCTTGGGACGAGGACTATCATTGCTGCAGCTGCTGCACACGGAGTACCAAAACTGGTTTATACCAGTAGTGCAGGGAACGTTTACAATATGACTGATTTAATTGGCGTGGACGAACGATTGCCTATTCCGGAACAGCAACTTGACGCATATAACAAGTCTAAGGCTCAGGCTGAGGCTCTAGTCCTTGAAGCTAATGGGAAGGAGGGCCTGCATACTGTCGCTTTACGGCCTGCTGGCATATTCGGGTGCGTCAAATACTTTCCAAACCGATGAAAATGCTGAGCTGCTTTATGCATTGCTGCCTCTTACTTCCACTGAAATAGACCCGGGGACCGTACTGCGCTCCCGGGTATAGTATCCGTCATTAAAAACAACCAGACCCGTATCCAAATCGGTAATAACAACAATCTCTTCGACTGGACTTACGTCGGCAACGTCGTCAAAGCTCACCTCCTCGCCGCCGACAAGCTTCTTGATCCTCCACTTGACACAACTACTGTACTCCAGAATTACCCGCCATCCATCACACTAACTACAGGAAAATACACCGTCCCAACCTCCTTCTCCCGTCCACCAGGTCCAATCGTCGGTGAACTCACTCCCGAGCTTGAACAAGCCTACTGGGCATTCAAAGAAGGTCGCCAGCCCAAAACGCTCACCCGTTCCAAATTCGACCCTCTCACACCCGAAGCACTCGACATCGAGCCAACCTACCCACTTCAAGTTGCAGGCCAAACATTCTTCATCACGAATGGTGAACCCATGTATTTTTGGGATTTCCTGAGGGCAATGTGGAAAGCGTTGGGACATGAAAATCCAACATCGAGAATCGCGATTCCTAGCTCGTTTGGATTGATACTTGGTACGATGAGCGAATGGTTCAGCCGGCTTCTGGGTCGCGAACCGGGATTCACCCGTGGGAGGGTGTATTATTGTAACACCCATCGGTGGTTTAACATTGAGAAGGCAAGAAGGGTGCTAGGTTACGAACCTGATGTGGGTATCGAGGAAGGTATCAAAAGAACTGCGGCGGTGAGTTGTAGCGTTCTCTTCCACTTCTTTGATCTCCATGTTCAACGTCCTACGTTACATTTTTCCATGCGCTTCCTCTGATGTGGGATCAGTGGTGGAAAGAAGAACAGGTCAAGGCGGACAATTCCGTTCACTGATTTTCATCACAGCTTTACTCGGTGTTACCATTCAGGATCCGAGGCAATCTTCGTGCTCTGGCTATTTATCTTTTACATTAGACATTGTCGGTTCGATTGGGAATAGAGAATGTGCCCGATGCACCCAAACTCTTGTCTGTTTATTTTTTGGCGTCAGGTATTGCGAACAGAGAATGGGGACTGGTACTAGTGGTGCAGTCATCGTCAGCAGACATGCGCGCAAACTTCGCTCCGATGAAGTTGCGCACTTCCCTAAGTGTTGATGTACCTGGGTTTCAAGAGTTGTGTCTACCCACGCCACCGGGTATGTACCTGCATGAGGCAGAGAGGTATGTTTGGAAAAATGCGCGCGGTGTCGCAAGCGTGAAATCTCGCCCTATCGGAGATCGGCGTAGTTTGAAAAGAACAGGGCGGCACCCTCCTCCCGGCTCAAAGAAAGAGGGTCCGTTTCCATTGCCATTGCTGGTCTTGGTTGCACACCACCTCTGAGGCCTCCATAGTCAGACATCAAACTCGAAGGGAGAAAAAATAGCTCCACGAGTTCCACGAATGCACGTATGTACGGTGATGATTCTAACACCTATTACAGGCCGCGGACAAGTTATACGAACATAACCTATGAAGAAAAGGGTATCACCTCAGTCTCGAAGATAGCCAGTGAAAAATAACATTATCAGTACTATCGCATCAATACCACTGCGTTAAATGAATAAGCGTTGTAATTTTGTCAGCCACGGCGATTTCCAACAGTGAAGCTAAGGCGCGCGACGAGCTCCTGAAAATGAATGCCTTGTTATGTAGACTCTTCCCCGTTCCCCATGCATAACTGCCACGCCGAGCAGTGTACATCACAATAGACTCTGGAATCAGAGCCTCATCTAAAAAGAATTATTTATCCATAACGGTTCAACCGCATGCAAAACGAGTTCCACAGGTAACATAAAATCGCAAGTCTTTGTCATCGTTCCAAAACGTTTTTGGCGCTAAACGGCAAGTTCCGATTGACAGGCAACTTTCCTATTTCGGCACTTGCAGGCTACCTGCCATGGTCTCAGTTGCGCAGATGCCCCCTCCTAGCACCTTCATCATCCCTGTGTACCGACTATGATGTTTATGACTCCTATACTATGGGCTTAAGGGATGTTACGCTGTTGGTTGTTTCAGCCCACACACAAATTTTCGGCCGATAACACCTTCAATGTAGCCAGGAAGTGGCGTTACGGGCCTAAGTTTTTTCTTTTTTTTAAAATCTTCAGTAGATTCCTGCAGCGGCGGATCTAGCTGCGCGCCGCCGCATTTGGCACACTGAGTGATGCACAAGAACCGACTCAAGTGCTGAATCGGATCATAAGACATGTGTGCGGTTGCACCTCAATTGAACAAGGCCGGGAAAAATGATCTCTTTTTCTTCGCGGTATCAATAATGCTCGATCCAGAAGGATAGGATGATTAGTTCAATAATAACGAGAAGATCCATGCCCACGCGGCTTGCAGCCGATAGCCTAGCGCTCAGGAACAAGCCAAAGGAGGGAACTAACGAGTCACGAGTACAGGACCAGGACCAAGCCGGTGAGAGGATTCGGACAGAAACTTTACCAACCCCAGAATAAAAGGGTGCCTCTGAATGATGGTGGAGTACTTATCAACAAGATAAGAGCGATTAGAAGAGAGAGAGAAGGGGGAAGTCGGAGATCGATCAAGTCAGGTCAGGTGGACATATATTGCGTTATAACGCATGCTCTAGTATACGTGCGAGAACTCATATTCGTGAGATACCCGTACCATGGTAGGCAGGATCCCAACCCTTACTAAAGTAGTAGAGTACTATGGATGACTATAACACCTTGAAGCCAGTCATCTGGCCTATTCCAACCAAGCAATCATAAAGGTGTTAGTTGCCATTGCAGGGGAGTATATGCTACCAGTATATATATATCAGGTGCTACTAGCTAGGCACAATATTAGTGTTTTTGAGTCCGCGACCCATTTCTTTCCCCTTATACCACAACCGCAATGGCAACTCTTGGAGGAACATTTTAATTTCTGATGGATAAATTACCAAAAGAAAAAAAATGCACGCGAATCCGCGTCACAAGTGCCAGTGAATTGAAAAAAGAGCTGGATTAGAAACCGTTACTTGCTATGTATGGGGTTTTCATAAAACCGACTTTGCCGATTTGTTGTTATTGCAGGGATTCGAATTTGCAAATCGTTGGGGGGTTGATGACGTTTCGATGACGTGTTGTTCGCAAGCAAGCAGTGGAAGGTAAAACTGAGCCGAGGATACAGTACTAGTCTACTTGGTATACTTTTGTGCACGTGCGTTGACAGGAATGTCATGGCCCCACATGCATCCCACAGCAAAATGGTCCCCGCAATCCCCCACGGTCTGGCGAAGTACTAATACTTCCATACGCCAGCCTCGGAGTCCAATAAAGAACCCCATGCAAGCCAACCAGGTTGCAAAAAAGGTCGTCTGATACGCCGCGGGGTGTATGGCTTGGCAATTGCACAAGGCTACGTGGGGCCGCAGCCGCAACCGCAAAAGTAAATGTACTTACATGCATAAAAGGTACTGAAGTTTGCTGCCAGCCGGAAGCTTACCTTGGACCTCGGACCTCATCACAAGTCACAAGATATCACTTATTAGCCATATCGTTGTCAACAATATTCGCTTCACCGATCGACGGTCCCTCCACCGATCTAACTGACGAGACGATCGATCCCCAAGTACATTACTCACCTCCAAGGTTTTGATCACGCGAGCATGCAGGCACAAGTTCTCGCCCCCATTCTTCGAAACCAGCCCCACCCCAAATTAAATACCTTCACGCGAGCCTATAATATCATGTATGTTTGTAAATCAAAAAAAGAAAAAAAGGGGGCAGTACCCTCGCACATGTTAATTTTATACATTGTCAGGTTTTAAACACCGAATTCCTCCCAGATTTACTTCCCCACCCCCCCGACAACATACCGGCCGGTCCCTCCCACGTCCGTCTCCGCCTCTGATTCTGTCTGATTCTTCCTTGAATAATGTAAAGGGCTCGATCCTGAATAATTCGGATTCGGATCGGATTGGGGTACGGTTGAATTCGCTCCAAATTGGCAGATCTTGAGAGGGGTGCCGCGCTTGACTGGGGGGGGGGAGGACATCGACGTTGGCATGGATATATATGTTCCACTGTCAAGTTCACATCCGGGGCAAAAATTCGATTCCAATCCGGCTAATTACATATCATGCCTAAAGATCGATGACGGCCGACGGATGGGAACAAACTTCGCCGAATCGCGCATAATTCACGAGTCTCCCATCCATCCAGCCATCCACCTATCCATATGTCAAGTTGTACGTACTAGTGTATGCGTAATATGTGTATAAACAAACATGGAATTGTTATTGGAACGAAACGATATTACACTAGTAGCTATGTAAATGCATGAGCCGATTGTAAGGATGGACAAGATGGTGAAAGTAGTACTGTGCGATGTGGTTACATAAACATATATCTGCATGTCGGACAAAAGAAAGAGAAAAGATGGAAGGTGACAACAAAAATGTATGTATGTATGTATGTATGCAGACATTGGGGGATGAGGAATCGGCCTTAAAAAAAAAAAAACAAAGAAAAACATATGGATAGCTAACGTGCAAAGCCTAGCTATCAAAATTCCAACAATTTAGCACACGCACACGTACGCAAAACCCAAATTAAAACTCGTTAACGCGTCAGAACAACCTGAGGAACCAAAAAAAAACAAAGGAAGAAAAAAAAATGGGAAAAATCCATTTACGTGTTGCGCACCAAGTAGCCCTCACACACACAATGCCCCCCCCCTACCCTTGGACGCTTGAAAAAAAAAAACCGCTCAAACGTCCTCAGCAGCACAGATAATCTTCAAAGGACTTTCCGCCCGTTCCGTCGAACAAACGACCTTCAAAGGTTTACACATCGTAATGGCCCTACTACCATACCATTCCAACTCGACTCCATCCGCACTCGCCTTCATTCGAATGCTGTTCTCCAACGCGTACACCCTAAAGAACCTCTGATCCGCTATCGAACGTTTTCGCGTAGGGAGGTGGGATTGAGCTGGTGGTGGTGGCGATGGTAATCGAGGTGGTGCTGACGACGAGTGGGACGAGGTGGAAGAAGGAGAAGAAGGAGAGGGGGAGGAAGTAGAAGTAGAAGTAGAAGTGGTTTGAGAATTGGTAGGATTCGCTGCTGATGACGATGTCAAGTAATAGTATCGAGAAGGGGATCGACCTCGCGGTGGAACCGTAAGGATCGTAAAATCGTCCACCAACTCATCCGAATCGTCTTCGTCATCGATCACCGAATCCTCCACACCAAGACGCCCATCCAAGTCTAAAGAGGTCACCGCCGCCGTCGCCGCCACTACCACAGACGATGAATTCCCAGCGCCACCGAGACCATCCATCGATGTTTTCTTCTTATTAAGGTCAGGAGATCTTGACCTCCCGCCACCACTGCCGACGACGACGGAAGGAACAAAAACAACATCATCCATCAACGTGGTGACACCCGTGAAACTCCCACTCCTTTTCCTCCTCGAAGGTCGTTGAGGCGTCCAATACGTCTCAAACTCGACACAGCTCGGCGGAACTCCATCGCCCTCCGTTCTACGACATTTCTTCTCACCACCAGCTTTAGTAGTAGTAGTAGTGCCTCTCCTCCTCCACAGACTGATAGGTTGAAGATCATCTTTGGAAGGGGACGAGAAAATAGCTTTGATGTGTTCGCTCTTGGCTCGATAGCCGTAAGCCGTCATGATAGGTTGAGGTCGGTGAATCGTCGGACCCAATTTGGATTTGCACGACGAGCATAACTCCGCCGCATCCTTCTTATCATCATCATCGTCGTCGTCGTCGTCAAACGGCGACGAGGATGCATCGAAGCTCAAACACTCCTCGTTGGAAAGACCATCCACGTTTCCCAACAGGACCCACTTCCCGTTCACGCTCCCCCTCCTTCTCGGCGTAGACACCGAACGGGGCTTCTCTCTCTCCTTAGCTTCAGCCTTCTCCCTCCTCTTCTCCTCGATCTCTCTTGCAACCATCAAACTCCTCTGAAACTCCTCTTCCTCCTTCTCAGCCTTCTCAGTCTCGACTCTCGCTTTCGTTTCCGACTCTGCAATATACATCTCCAACATCCCCAACACAAGTGGACATGAATACGCGTCGACAGGTACGGAGGGTGGTGGTGGTGGATAGAAGTAAGTAGAAGATGGAGTTTTGGATGCTTTGTTGGACTTTCGAGGAGATCTCAATCGAGCAGGACTGGAAGACGAAGTCGGACAGACAGTAGATGCAGTGGAACGACAGGAGGACGGGGAGGATGGACATAGAGTCGATGGGGACGTAGATAGTGAAGGAACAGGTGAAAAGATCGAATCGGCAGTTGTCGTAGGAGACGTTGACGATCGAGAAGCTGACGTCGTTCCAGACGACGATTCCAATGACGAAGCGGAACATGAACAGAATTCCGCAGACCTCTCACGGTCCGTAACAACTCGGCTCTCGTTCTCGTTCTCACTCGATGACGACAACTCCCGACGTTCAGGACTTGGAGGACCCCGCCGATCTTTCCTCCCTTTCGTCTTGCTCTTCTTCCTCGAAGGAACGCATCGATCGATCCTACACGTCACCAAACCCACATACTCAGCCAACGTCCCACCTTCTCTCAACGCTTCCTTCTCCTCGACACTATCCTTCTCCAAAGGGAACAACGCTCCAAATCGCCTCCGATGAGCTTCCTTTAAAGAAGCTCTCTTTCGGGATTTAGTCGCTACGGGGAAAAGGGGCGTACGACTGGGTGCTCGAGGGATTTTAGTTTTAGATCGCTTTGGTGTTGCTGGTGCTTGTGCTTGTGCTTCCGATTGAGCTGGAGTTGATGTTCGTGTTCGTGTCTGACGCGGTGTCATACTAGCACTACTCCTAGGTGTCCGCGCACTAACCGAATCACCTTCAGACTCGGAATCCAACGAGGAACCAGAACCAGAACTGTCCTCCTCGCTATCGTCGTCATCATCCGCAGCACTGGAGTGTTCACCAGAAGAGGAATACTCGTAAAGTAACCAATCCTCATCGGAATACTCCCCATCAAGTGATGGTTCCTTTCCGGGAATGATCGTTACGATGGCGTATTCACGCGTCACGCCTGGTCCCGGTGGTGGCGGCTGTTTACGCGAATCGACGTATACGGAGACGGGGACGTGAGGAGAGGAACGGGATGACGTCGTTGAATAGGTGGGTTTTTGACTCCGGTGATTGTTAGTTGTTGGGCACGCTGATGATGGAGATGGAGATGGCGATGACGATGACGATGACAATATTGATGATGCAGAAAGTTTAGGAGGAGTGGAGCTGGAAGGATGTGATCTTCGGGATGAGAGTGGGATCTGCGGAACCGACGGTAAAGGTATAGACGTAACCAGCGGACTCTCACGTCGGATAGGAGATGGAGATGGAGATGAAGATGATGACGACGAGGAAGACGGAGCAGTAGACCTGCTAGCACTCTTTCGTTGTTTATGACTGCAATATGAAGATACCGAGGATGATGACAAAAGTGCCGATTCTGTGGGAAGACTATTATTGCTACTGGAAGCGCTGGCCGTAGCGTGCCTGTCGAGAGGTTTACTGGCAGACGAGCGCGAGGACGATCGAATGACGTCTTGTGTATAACTTGGTAACCCAAAAGTGAGGCGGTGAAGAAAACCAAGAGGGGATATATTGGTAAGGGTAAGGAATTCGAGGGGGAGGGGGTAGGTCCGAAGCAGCCACGAAAGAGAGAGAGAGAGTCAGAAAGGAGGTCTAAGCGCGAGTTAAGAAAGGTGAACGAACGACAACGCACCTCGATTTCGGGCTGTATCTACGAGGATAAGTCAAATTTGCAGGCAGACGACGACGGTCGTCAATCCGTTGGCGGTGCATTTGTACAAGGTAACGCTAGGTCGGGGGAGGGGGAAGTATCAAAGAATGGGTTGCAGTTAGATGGTTAGAGTCGCTGGAGGGCCGGAGGGGTGGAGTATAAAAAGAGGGGAGGGGGGGGGGGGGGAGCGAGTTGAACTCGTGGGCAGTAAGTAGTAATTGGTCGGGTGGAAAAAGACTTGGGTGGGACTAGGCTTCTGATTCTGTAAGTAAGTAAGTGGGTGATCATCCACCACTGAAAAAAAGATTACAGCGGTCAGGGATGACTTCGAGGTATATTATGTATGTTAGGTAGCAACTCGGAGTGGTTATTGCACTATGGGGATGATGACGACGAGAAGAGGAAAGGAAAGGGAGCTGGAGCTATTAGGGGGGGGGAATGAAGGAAGGGATTGTGATCTTTGGACTTTACCCGCGGGTCAAGTAGGGATGAAAAAAGCAAAAACAAGAAGCGAGGGGAAGGGGGGATGACGAAAAGAGTTGTTTGTTGCCAGGATGATATTTTCCTATTTCCCTCGCTGGTTTTTGCAGCTGGCATAAACTTGCCTTTCGGGGAGGGGTTGTTATGTATGTAAGAAGAGATCGCTACAAATGGCAATCCCTCCGGCGGACGTTTTGTATTGAATGCTATGACGGAAGGGTTCCAGAATTCGGTTATTGAACTATGTATACGGGTAAGGTCCAAAAAAAAGCGGGGGGTTCCCCTCCTCACTCGCACTCTGTACTTCTGCAGTACTCTGCACACTGCGAGCCCAGGAAAGATCACAGTTCGAGCAGTTCGAATATTATGGTGCGCAAGCGACATAACCATCCGTGATGTCTCATGCACAGCACAGGAGAGTCAATAATTATGTAATAACCTGTGTATACTATATGACCCCAAGGCGAGGGCGCATGCGTTTGACGCGCGTCCACAACTCAAAAAAGAAGCGTACAATATGAGAGTACTGCATGGCAGTTTACAGCCCTCAAAAATCAATAATGACCCCATCGCAAAATCCCTTCATCCACGTGATCACAATTGGGTGTCAGCCCCCAAACACAACAACACAACAACACAACAACATCCGCAGCTGGGAACGAACAGCCAGACAGCCAGACAGCAACGAAAACGACGAGGACGCGTCGTTACTTTTTTGGTTATCGCACTCGTGCTACCCCAGACCCTCCTATCTCCAACCATATATATACCGTTACGACCCGACAGAATACTTACTACCTTAGTCGCTCCAAACTACAAACCCACATCATGAAACCCACTAAGGGGTGTGAACATTGCAACATTTCCGTGCGGCGCCCCTTTCCACATACATACACCAACCACTTAAAAATGTCTGAATTCTCTTCTCTTTGACTTTCAAGCATGTGCTATTTCGATGAAAAGTCACATGCGAGGGACCCACTGAACCCCAGATTTGTGTGCATGGGTTCCGTGGGGTCCGGATCCCTTTTTATCATGTGTCGCTTTCAGCGTGGGCCCCCAAGTACTACTAGTACTAGTGGAGGTTGAACCCTGCCAGATCACGCGCCCTTGTGCACATGCCCCCTCAGCCTGCATGGCCAAGGTCGACATCATCCCCCAGAAACAGCCGATCGATCTTGTATTTCTAACCGATCTCTCGGGCACACTCGTTCCGGCCTCGCTCATGCGTACACATACATATATAAAGCATCACGCGTCAGGTTGATCTCGACACACAAATCTAGAATCGCATTCTATATGACCGGCACCTCGATTCTGGTGATATTGTGTTCATATATATGCAGCGGTGCCCATCTCCACCACACACAGTACTGCGATGTTCTAGTCGTCCTTATACAACTCAATCTACTGCATCGCTATCACTCCCATTCGACCCCGTCCACCGTTCGGATCATACGCCCATCCTCCTATGCACATATCTCGTTCCGGTCGTCCAAAAACGGCAAGCCTTTCCTATGCCGTTACTGTAAATCCGTTCTTTCCATTCTTCCCCCATTCACAACTCGGCATCTACAACGAAAAGTGTTCTAGTACCCCCCCCTCCGGTTCCACCACACGGTACGTTGATGAATGAATGAATTGATTAATTAATTAACCAAGTTCACGACTCCGTAATATTCATCTTACATATACTTTTTGCCTTCATTCTCATTCTCATCTCCAAATGAATTCCCGGCCTGATCATGTATATTGGAGAGGGGTCTAGTCGGACTCATCTTTCATTATCCCACGAACCCATCGGAATATACACAAGTAATTTGCTTGCTTCTCATATATACATTATATCTCATACACAAGTCCAGTGTCGATCCAGCCAACAGTACTCCCCGGCCCCCATGCTATCTCTTTCCCTTTCTATGCTATTATCTAGGGACCAGTATCAATTCCCCTATGTCAGTCGACACGCACATTATTGCACAGTTTCGGACATCGATACCAGGCACAATCACTACATAAGGTACCAGACACAGTATGTAATATTCCAACGAAAAAAAAAAGGCCTCAAATCGATCCATTATGCGTGAGATCGATGATTGATCCTGTGCATATGACCCATTTAAACAACAACGTTTGCTAGTGCCCACACCCACATAACATCCGGGACGACGCTGCCGAGTTCAGTTCCAGTTGGGGATATCGATAAGTTCACCTAGGCAAAAAAAAAAAAAAGATTTGAAATTGAAATTAAAGAGCAAGAAGAGTCAAGCTATTATGCACCTACTCGTGGGCCTGGGGGGTCTGAGGCGGCAGTGTGGCTGCAGGCCGACGGAGGCTGGATGGAAGAATCATCTTATCGTGATCGATCGATCGACACGGTAGCTAGCTAGCTAGGCTACCACAAAATGCAAAAACTGGTTATATAATAGTTCCGCTTTGTGTGGATGTGGAATTAAACCCTGGTTTGAGTGCAAAAAATGTAGGTACATGTTCGTTGAATTGATCCCCTCAGGCCGCCCATGCATGTGAAAGCGTATAAAAAAAGAAAAGACGGGAGAACAGAATGAAGGAAGGAAGGAGAAAAACATAGGTATATATATAGAGAGAGAGAGCAGAACTTGCGCGTGTAAACCCAACTACAACAGCGGCTTGCGAACTTTTGCGACGACTGTAAGAACCGATATGATATGATATGATAACGATAACGATAACGATAACGAGTAGGTAGTTGGGCAAAATGGAAAGCCGCACACGAGTATATGGCCGCCCGGTCCTAGTGCGTGTGAGTAAATTAACCCTGCATTATCGAATGCGCGCGATTATGCATGGGTGTGAAAAACCCGAAAGCCATCCATCACCACTAGTACTAGTGTCAAGCGACGCGCGCAACCACACGCTGTATAGTATAGTAGCCCCTAACTTGATCAGTATTTGTCATCGAGAAAGGCGCAAGCGGCTCTGGCTGGCGCGAAGGAAGATACGGGGGAGCCGCCCATTTGTGGCCGAAAGGGCACACCCACGGCACCTGCACAACATGAGCCATGCAATTCCAGTGGCCTCATAGTACTACGGTCTAGCCCTAACTCGGCCTGCGTTAATGATCATCGATGTACTACATAATTTCCAAAATCCCATCACAAACTCTCGCGCTAATTAACCATAGCTAGCACTACTTGGGGATAACACAAAGTGCGTCTAAGCATCATGATGGCAAATCTAAAGATCGTCATGTACTCGTTTGGAAACCAAAACAAAACAATTTAATCCTGAATTGAACGCGCGTACCCACCGCGTTTACACATATATACACATTCGAAGCATATATCGGACAACGTTGCCGAGAGTCCCACTTGGAGCGATTCGATCCCTCTATTAATAAATAATTTCATTTGGCCCGGAGGGGGGGGGACCAAATGATGAGGATCGATGGGCAGGCCAAGGAGACGTGAGGCGCAAGGGTTAGAGTATCTCGCGCGCGCGACCCAGCCCCGACAAAGCTTGCCTATATAGCTAGGCGATATCGAACAGACGCATTATAACTACCGCATTGCGCATGCACACTGGCCGGGCCGAGCTCCTTCGGCCGACGAAAGGACCGAAGAAGACAGGCGGGGGGGGGGGTGGACATGAGAGTGGGTATAAAGTGGACTTGCATGCAAACGATTCGAATGAGATGACTGAAAACTGATATGATAATGATAATGATCGATAGATTACAACGCGACCGTACGAAGGAATTCGAACAGCCGCACAAGTCTTAGTACGCGTTTGCACATGGGGGTTCCATTCACTAGAAGCACCCCCAAAACTAACTGCACTATGCGATCAAACAACCCAGATGCCGGCCAGAATCCGAAGCTCTCACCAATTAAAGTCATCAGTGCGGGCTCGCGTATTACATACTTGCCCCACTTTATTATCTGTCAAAAGTAAAAGGCGTGGGTGGCTTGCGCAAGAACGAAGAGCCGGGACCCTGCAGCGAATCTCATTTCGCGTGTCAATCTGACCTTTGGTCAACGTCTTCCACATATGTCCGCGGCACCAGAAGCTTAAACCAGCTCTCTTCACGCTCAAATGAGCACACGTATCCCTTCGCATATGCGCAGTTCCCAGATTGGGACATGGGAAGCATCAGGCAGTCGACCGGACATGAATCCCGACGGCCGCAGTCAATCGACGTCCGGGTCTTGGCCTCGGTAATATAGTTCCCCCGGCTGCGGATGCATTTGCATTTGCACGCATGTGTGTATGTATGTGGCATCGCCCGCTCCTATCTGCATGTGGACCTCCCAACCCAATGTTTGAGCCCCTTAGTATACCCCTTGCTTAATCAGATATTCGACCTTTTTGACAAATTACAAGGCGCTGCATATATAACACTGCATGCATACGTCGCGCCACATTCACAACAGCCCCATACGGCACAAAATACATGCAAGCCGCGCACAACCAAATTATCTAGAAGCTTAATTAGAGGCGAGATTAGCACATGCATATTACGTTCAAGGAATATCGTACATACCCTAACTCAGCTTACATATCATGTTGTGCTTACCAAGCTTAATAATAATCATACATACCCTCTTGCGCCACCCAACACTCGGCCATCCCTGATAACACGAAGTCTGTCCAACAAAACGTCCCCTTCCAGATAACACCCTTTCAACCATCTTTGAACCCCCAACTCTTCCTCCACTACGCTACCGTTCCCTTCCGAACTTCCAGAAGCACTACTTTCTTCGTTCCCCCCCGCACCATTCCGATTCCGATTCCGATTCCGATTCCGACTCCGATTCCGACTCTGACTCTGACTTTGAAATTCCCTTCTCCCATGCAGGACCCTCCTGTTATCAAAAATAACTGCCATACCCGGCTTCATCGCTCGTTCGTATAACCGATCATCCGTGTGAAGTAACTTTGTAAATTTCTTTAAAGCGGGTAAGAATCGCGAATCTAGATTTGTGTGAAGGGGTAGCGGAGCTTGAAAAGGAGGTGAGTAGTTGATGTACGCCACTTCAGGTACGACTACGCTAAGCGGGAGAAGTTGCTCTTGAGGTTGTGTATCCGAATAGGAAGCGACAAGGGGTGAGTTGGAAGGGATGATAGACGAAGAGGCAAGTTGGATCGTGCGATGTTCGCGATACAAATGATGATGCTCGTTCATGTACTGAAATGCAACCGGTCGTTGACAAAGCACATCGAACGCCTCTCGATCTTCTTCCAGTAACGTATACGCCGCATGATACCCATCCGAAAAGATACTTTCCCCTCCCACAACTCCCGTATTCCTCAACATGTGTAACACCTGATATCGTGGCGGATTCTCGCAATAGGCCAGATCCATATGTAATCCCAAATCCAAGTTCGTATAGGCAATATTCCGACTCGTCTCACCACGAGAGACGACATCCCACAAACGACCGTAAATCGTTTCCCGAACGATTCCAAAGATTCTAGCAAGTTTACCCGTTTCGCATCGTTCGTCCGACGTCTCCTCAGATGGGATCCCTTCAACGAACAATATCCCATATTTGAGCAATTGTTCGATCCCCCGACGAACAACAGCATCATCATCATCCTTTGAAATACACAAACTGTCGTACGACATTGTTAGATCATCCGATCGAACCAATTCCTTTTGCGTCCAAGGGAAAGGTTTGATCGCATGACGAAACGCATCCTCGAGCGTCAAATGAGAGTACCTTCTTAACATCTCAACGCTAAATTCCGTTTCATTTGGCCACTCTTTCGTATTCCCCATCCCATGATCGACCGTCATCCGAGTCCGAGTGTGAGCCTCCATTCGACCCCAAACGATCTTCACACGAGTTCCATCTTCCGTAAGTTCCGCCTTAAGAGGGAGTTCACCAACATCAAGCGGAACTTGAGAAGATGAATGAAGTTTTTGTCTCGTAGCCGAATGAACGAGTTGAGGATCCGAATCTCGGAGCCATGTGTAAGGGAATCGATGAACAACTCTTTCGGTAGGACTAAATTGGATGGCTAAAGCATCGCTTTCAAGCGAGAGTTGGATGGAAGGAGGGATTGATCCAGGATACGATTGAGAGTGTGATCGAGGAGGTACTGCGATGACGGAATTACGGAGACCGCGACGTCCGAGGACTTTGGCAGTGGTAGTAGCAGTAGGACTAGAGACAAGTGGGGCCAGGGCTCTGGCTGCTTTGGCAGCAGTGGCAACGGGAAATGGAGACACAACAGAACAGAGCCGCCGATTGAGAACGCAACTAGTGGTGTACTGTCTCATGTGAGCAATAATATTCCGTTCGAGTGTGACGTGTGATCAGCCACATGCACACGTCGCCACGTTAATGTTATGTAGCTGGCGGTAAACAAGGTGATACATTCGCAAAAGCCACACTGTACATTAAATAAAGCCACCAAAAAAAAACTCCTTGGGGAAAAAATTGACAGCTATAGATACAGTTGTTCAAACGAATCTTGCAACAAGTGGTAGTAATAAGTATGATAGAAGGCTCCACAGGGCAGACCCAAAGAACACGAGCGTTATCCCTCGCGCGGCGCTGGCGCACCCTTTGTAGTATATGAAGCCCCCCCCCCTCAAGGAAAAGGATTCCGCGCGATGGGGAGACGGAGAAAGCCTTTTCGGAATCATCACCTGACTGAGAACTTCTTCCGGCCCCTTGGTACGTCTTGCGTCTTGGCGCCAAAGCCTTGGCGACGCAAGCAGCCGATCAATCGAGGAAGGTTCATGCGCCAACCCTTTACTGTAACTCCCCCGAGCCCAATATTACTACCCGTCCCTTCGCTTCTTCCTTCGAGTTCTCACTGACCCACCACTTGTACATGTAGGCAGGACTCCAGCTGCCTCTATGGCAAACAAGCATTTTTCTGTGGCATATGACGGAGCGGCACGTTAATGGGTCACACTGTACACAATCAGTAGATTCAGTACTGTACAAGGCCGTGCTATGTATTTTTTTTTTAAAATCCTGCCATGCAGCTACGGCGTTTTGGGGTTAAATCGCACCACTTGTACGGTTATACTTCTACATGAGTATGTATCCGGCTCAAAGTACCAACGGGGGTACTACGAAGTTTGCGCGGACCTATGTGAATACTCGCACGAAGTCTAAGTTTAGCGGATCTTGTCATAGGTCATGCTACATAGAAGCCGGACAAAGGATTCCCAAGCGACTGAGCTTTCCCGTCCGCGTTTAGGACGCGTACGGAGCCACTGCGCGGACTTGGGGGAGACTGAAAACCCTAGCTCACAGAGTTCAAGCTAAACCACAAGTTGCGGTTGATGAGTTACACATTAATCACGACAGGTCCACCCCCAACGGCAAAGGCTTGCAGGCCGCTGCATGCTTTACTTTCTGGGGTTGCATTTCTTCTGGCACCTATGGTTGGTGCCAATGGATACATTGTGGAACTTGGTTCACGGCAGAAGAAGTGAAATATGATGTTGGATGCGAGAAGCAGTGAATATGTACGTCCATAGTCAGAACGATTTAGGGATGAGGTCCTGTTCCAGTCGACGGCGGTGATGCAGCCCCTGGTTCTTCCCCGATGGACCTGGCAAGTGAGGATAGCTGTAGCGTAGGCGACCGTTGAGGCTTCGGCTTCGCAGGGATCAATCCTCCCTATCAAACACAACACCATCAATATGAACCAACCCCCGAAAGTAAAAAAAAAACCAAAAGTTAAAAACCAGAAAAAAGAAAAAAACACACACCTTCTCCAATAACTCCTCAATAGTCTTACTAGGCTGAGCCCCCACACTCAACCAATAACTGATCCTCTCAGCACTCCACTCCACTCTCCTCTCCATCCTCATCATCGCCTTCTCCAACTCCGGCGCCTTCCTCCTCCCAGGAAGCTCATCCTCAACTCTCCAAGGTTTCCTAAGCACCTCCTCAGGTATCCTAGGCTTCGGGTCGTAAACACCCAACACTTCTAACGGTTTCGCATCTCGACGTTTACGACCGTCGATGGCAACGATGTTGTAATGTGTTGTGAGCTTCGTACGTTGAGGTGGACGGGCAAGACGTATCCGAACCGGCATTCTTTTTTCCTTTCCAGATTTCCCTCGGGACTTGGGAAGAAATGCAGTAAGCGGTTGGGAAGGCTAACGTGTAGGGATCGATAGTTTTTGCGGCGCAAAGAGTGTGAGAGCTGTCGGAAAAGTTACAAATCGACTGCATCACGTGATGCCCGTCGCAATGCATTTCAATGAATCACAACACTGTTACAATAGGTATATCAAATGTCATTTCATGGTGTATGACATTGTAAATGACCCCATGTGTAGCATTTTCAAAACTCTAGGCAGGATACTAGCCCGTTTTCGGTACTAGAAAGGCTGCTTCGCAGCCATGACCTTGCTTTCCGATCACATGAACACTGCTAGGCTCACAAGCTCAAGATGATATGGTTTGGCATTTGGTTCCTGATTCAAGGGGTGTTGATTCAGCCATTGCTGAACCCTGGGTTGGAGGGGAGGGTGGCAGGCTGCACAACTGCTGTATTTTCGGACACCATTACATATGCTACATCTATGAATCTAACTAAGAGAATTGACGCTTGTAATTTCTTCCATGGTAATTTGTCTGGTACAATACATTAAGTGGAAGATTATGTGCCAATTCCTAAAATCAAGTACAGGATTCAAAAAATCGACTCCCCTTGTGCTGATTTTACTTTTGAGTTGGCCAAATTCAATTGTTCAAGCAAGCTATTAGAGCGGAAATGACCGAATTTATTGTGTGTGAAATAATATTGGGGCATGTGATCAAAATGTCAGAATTCCCACAAAATCAGCGTCAGAATTCTCACGAATTGTGACCATGCAAGTGACCTTGGAAGCAAGGTAATTATTGTCACGTGGTCTAATTTGGTTCCGCAATTGGGTCCAATTATTAACATATACTAATAGCTGGCATAAGCAAGTAACAGAGTGTTCTCATTGGTCTGCTCGATTTCTCGCTCTCTCATTGGCTGGACTTATCACGGACATTGACGGTTTTTTGTCGCAATTGTTGGAGGAACCGTGTGAGGAACTCGCCCGGACAGCCACATTCCCGCAGTAGCGTGACTACTTGGTCACAACACCTTTTTTCTTCTTACTTATTTTGGTCACTTCGGACTTATCTGCGAAGGCCATAAGCTATATTCCCGCTACAGAGTAGCGGGTCTTGTGGGCTTAGACTGAATTGCCGTGCAAAAAGGTCCTCTATTATTGCATATTCCATTGCTTCCCGAGGTCCTCTTCGGTCCTAACCATTCCCTTTCATGTTCTATTACCATTGCACATGTGTTGAAACCTGAGTTGGCCCAATTTTCCTTGCCTTTTAAAACATTCCAGTTACCCCTCAACTTGCTTCTTTCCTCTCCTATGGCCACTCCATCAGACAGTGCAGCTCCCCATGCTTTCTCACCTTTCGCTTTTTTGTCCACCACTTCCACTTCTTCTCCTTCCTCCATCGCGAATGAAGCATTCAAGCACGGACTTTTTACACATCCTGTAACGATCAATGATCCCTGTTTCACGCTTCTGCATCATATTGTCAATGGGGACTGCTACTTGAGTGCCTTCAGTGCATGCACCAACGCCTGGGCGAAATTTGTTCATATCGATAATTATCTCCGATTCCTGTTTGACTTCCTCCTTTCCCCTTCTGCTTCCCATGAACTCCAGAAACTTGTATGTAATGCTTTGGGTGTTGCAGATTCTAATCGATATTGTGCTGGTCCAAATGACTATTCCCTCATATTGACTGAATTTTCCACCATTCAGTACCGATATCCAGACCGGTTCAGCATTTTTCGTTGCTTTGAATGTTTATCTCATCTTGAACTTCTTGCAATCTGCCACTTTCATCAACTTGCATGTCATCTTCACAGTTCAAGTCTAACTCGTGAACAATTTGTTGGAATACGAGTCACATGATGAAATTGAACCGGAATATCTGAGAATATTCTACGGGTTACTAGGCGCCTGCGTAAGCGCTGGGCATAGAAGAGCCTGGAATATTGTTGAGGAGTATAAATATGGGCGCTGGAGCGCCGTGTGTATTTTAGTTATATATTTCTTTCTATATTACATCTGGGTTGCGAGTGAACCGCTGAAGCGGGTTACCATATTTGGAACGCCGCGTTTACAACACAATTGCAATCCACCCTCATTGCTCATTTGCTTTCCGACTCCCCATGCAACTTTGGGTTGAAAGAACACTCTGTCTCTGACTTCCACATGCATTGCAGTGCAAACCCTATGCCTGAAGACCAAATACTAATCAACCATGCAAATCTAATTCGCTCCATCATCAAAGTCGATATCTGTGAGCAAGCTCTCCATCGTATTCTCTCCATTTCAACTTGCCATTTGACTCTTCTGCAAATATGTCTACCTTGCGCCACTTATTGCTTCAGCATGCTAATGAATGCTCCCCAATGCTGGTTCCATCTGCTGATGGCTGGTACAATGAATGGAGACAGCAATGTGCTTTACGATGGCCGGAAAAGCTGTCGACAGAGTCCAAAACCTGTTTACTCAATGGTTTTTATTCATAGCTTAGCTCCAAACACCTGGCTTCATCAGTTTGCGCTGTTTGTGGTGCAGCCAGGTTTCAAGATGCAATGATACCAGATCCCATTGATTTGCAAACTTATGACACCTCCTTACTTGAAAGACATTACCCCCCCCATGCACCTCATCCTTTTCCAACCATACCTTTTCTGCAATGCATTATGTTGTCCCCCCTGGGAGTGGTTGAAACTGCCACCACTATATTGATTCGCATTTGCAAAGAATATGTCATGCCTCATTAAAATGCCGGCACTTGCCTAACACTGCTATTGCCAATGATTTACTTTTTGGCCCCATCCCTCCTGAGCTCTCTGACCTGACATTGATTGAAGAAGCTCTGATAGCCAGATGTCATGCAAAAAGCTGGATTATTGTCAGGGCACATACCTGTCAGGTGTCACGGCCCCGCAAAGTCCCCGCCCCTCTACCACTTTCTGCACCCCCATTCTTACGCCGTTACTCGCGCCGTTAATCTCGCCATTGCCCATCACTTAGCGGCGCCGATAGTGGTTCCCGTTCTACGGCCCCGTAGCAGCGCCTCCTTCGTTTTCCCGCCACCACTTGGGTTCCTCAACCATTCGGCCGGTATCGTTTTATTCTATTCACTCGCTTAACTAACTAGCGGTTGTTATGGTCGCCGTTGATCCGCTCCTTATGGACATTCCTTATTGACAATTGATTATTCCTTTATTGATATTTGATTTATACGTATATTGACATTCTGACCCGCGCGCCTAGATTGTCGGCTTATCCTTTCTGCCTCCCAACTTCGCCGTTCTCTGTCCCATTCATCTCTTCTGTTCCATTACCCTGGTCCTCATCGCTCTTTAGTTCTGTCGTACTTATCATCTCGTTCCCGTCCCGCGCCGGACCGACCGGTCCCTTCTCTGTTCTCCTTTCCTATTTATACTTGTAGTTTACTGTCGATGTACCTCAGTTCGAATATCGACTAGAATTCCCCCCAAGTACTTTCATCTTAAGTTCGCCCCTCAGCTTCATCCCGCTTAAGTCAACGTCGCCGCAAGGTCCTTCCCGCTAACGTGAAATACGGGACAGCCTAGAACGCGTGGCGCAACGCTCTGGCAAAGTCGTTGAAGCCGAAGTCCCAACCCCCTTGACGCCTTGCAACGGAGTAGCTCATTAGCTAAGTGACCACTTACGCCGCCGTACTCCGCCCCGCTTCCCGCGATCCCCTCGAACATAGTTTCTGACATCAGGGACGCGTCCGGGGTTGAGAGGGCCCGGGGGTAATGTCCGGCACTGAGGCCGTCGCGGGGTGTGGAGCAGGCGTGCGTACTGGCGGGCCTGATCCGGGACAGTGGTCCCTGGCCACTCAGACTGAAGTGGAGAATGTGAGAAGAAGGTTACTTCTTCAGTTCCCACTTCAGGTACATTTATGTACATGCGGCTTGAGTCACATGACGGGTGCCACGTCATCCTCGGGGGCAGCCACAGGCATCCGGGTGTCCCCGTGGGGGATCCCGAGGGTGTCCGCTGCATGCGCACGTGCTGGGCACAGAAGCCGTCCGGGGTGTGTGGGCCGGACGGGTCAATAGTACATCGATACAAAGGAAGGTGGTCCGTGTAGATAGAAAGAAATAAACAGGAAGAGGAAGATGAGAAGAATGAAATAAAGAAAGGGGAAAGAAGAGGGAAGAGAAAGGGGGGGAGAGGGAGGAAGGAGGGGGGAGGGGGATAGACAGCGGGGAGCAGGTGTGGTGTGGCCGGGTGGGTCCGGGTGGACCCGGGTCAGGCAGGTGTGCCCTGACATCACCCCCTCCTTAAGCCGCTTCGCCTCGAAGCGGCCAGGGGGTTCGTTCTCTCCCTTCCTGGGGCATGGGGGTGTGTTTGGTGGAACTCCTCGATCCGGTCAGGGGCATGGATTAGTTGGTCTCGGGGGAGCCATTCATTCTCTGAGTTCGGCCAACCCGCGAACTTTACTAAATACCAGAGCTTCCGGCGTAACCACTTAGAGTCCAGTATTTTTTCCACTTCATATTCCTCCTCTCCATCTATGAGTTCTGGGCCCGGGCGGGGGTCGGGGGGTCGTTCTGCGATCTCGTCCGGGCGGTAGGGTCTTACGTTCATCACAGATACGACTGGGTGAATTCCCTTTTGCCGTGCGGTGAGCTGGAGCTTGACGGCAGCTGGGGAGACGACCTTGACAACTTTGAAGGGGCCTAGCCACTTATGGTCTAGCTTCTTGGTCGGGCGGTCAGTCGTATAGTTTTGGGCGCTGAGCCAGACTCGGTCACCCTCCTGGTACTTGGGGGCTGTTTCCCAACCTCGGTCGTAGTAGCGGGCCATCTCGTCCGCTGCGTGCTCCAGGGCCGCCTTCACCTCTTCCTGCATCTTCATCATCCTGGACGAGAAGGCGTCGGCGGCTTCTACCTCGGACGTACGTGTGGGCTCCATCCCCATCCTGGGATGCTGCCCGGTCTCAAGCTCGAAGGGGGTTCGACGGGTGGACGAGTGGACGCGGTTGTTGTAGGCAAATTCTGCCAGTGGGAGCCAGTCCGCCCAGTCGTCCTGGCGGTGGTTGACGAACACCCGAAGATAGGCTTCGATTTCCTGGTTAACCCGCTCTGTCTGTCCGTCAGTCTGGGGGTGGTAGGGCGTTGAGGGGGTTAGCTTGACCCCCAGGAGATCTGCAAGTTCTTTCGAGAAGCGCGAGACGAAGGTGCTCCCTCTGTCGCTAAGGATCTCTTCCGGGAGCTCGTGGTGCTTCCAGATGTGCTCTAGGAAGAGCCGGGCGATACCAGCCAAGTCCACGGATGTCACGGTGGGGATCGCGTGGATGCGTTTGGACAGATGGTCCACTACAACTAGGATGGCATTATAACCTTTCGACTCTGGGAGCTCTCCCACCATGTCCACCGAGATTACCTGCCAATGGTGGGTGGGGACTTTATTTGGGGTGAGCTTCCCAACCTTCCGTGTGGGGAAGGGTTTGACGCGGTTACAGGTGTCGCATCCACGTACGTATTGCCCGACATATTCTGCCATCCGAGGCCACCAGTAGTCGCAGGAGACAAGCTCTAGGGTTTTCCATCGCCCTGGATGTCCCGTCGCCTGCGTGTCGTGGTGTAGCCGTACCAGATTGTGGCGGAGTTGTGGGTCTTTTGGAACGTACACCCTGCCTCGGTAGAGGACCAACTCTCCCTGTCTCTCCCACTCGTCCGACCTTAACGTTCCTTCTCCCAGTTCCCTCATGGCCTTTACCACCTGTTCGTCATGATCTCTCGCTCCTCGTACCCTCTCTAGGATATCCGCCTCCTCACCTTCCACTGAGACTGCTTCCATCGCACGGGCCTTGAACCAGGCCGGTTGGAGGAGGGTCAGCCCCTCATTGTCGTCCCTTCCCTTCGGGTGGTCAGCGTGGCGAGAGAGTGCGTCTGGTTTCCCCATGAGCTTCCCTGGGCGGTGGACGAGGGTGAAATGGAAGCGGGAGAGGAAGAGGGACCATCTGGCCTGACGTCGATTTAACCTCTGGGCCGTCCGGAAGTAGCCCAGGTTACGGTGGTCGGTGTAGATCTCGACTTTCTCCTCAGCACCTTCCATGAAGTGTCGCCATTCCTCGAGGGCTCGGACGATTGCAAGCATCTCTTTATTGTACACTTCGTAGTTGCGCTCTACATCCGTGAAACCTTTGGACATGAATGCTACCGGGTGGAACTCTCCATCCGGTTGGAGTTGGGAGAGGACCGCGCCGGTTGCAAAGTTGGATGCATCGCACTCGAGCCTGAAGCGGCCATGGTCGGTGGGGAAAGAGAGGACAGGGGCTGTGGTGACGGCTTCCTTGAGGGCACGGAAGGCATCATCTTCATCCGGGCCCCAGTTCCAGGTTTGGGTTTTCCGGGTCAGCCTGTGAAGGGGGCGGGCCTTCTCAGAGAAGTCTCTGATGAACCGGCGATAGAAGTTTACGAATCCTAGGAAGGATTGTACTTCTTTCACCTTGGTTGGGGGGGGCCAGTCGAGGACACCCTGGATCTTCACCGGGTCCATTGCGACGTTACCCTCCGAGATAACGAGGCCCAGGTACTCGATCCGGGTTCGCTCAAACTTACACTTCTCTGGCTTAAGGAAGAGCCTCCTTCTCCTCAGCGTCTCTAGGACTTCTCGGACGACCCTTCGATGTTCCTCCAGGGTGGCCGTGAAGATCAGGATGTCGTCCATGTAACAGATGACAACCTCCCGGTCGATGAAATCCCTCAGGATGTCATTCATCATGGTCTGGAAGGTTGCCGGGGAGTTACACAGGCCGAAGAACATCACCATGGGCTCGAACAGCCCCCGGTTGGTCGCGAATGCCGCCTTCCACTCGTCTCCGTCCTTGATCCGGACATTGTTAAACCCCCAGCGTAGGTCCAAGGCTGAGAAGTATTTGGCGTTGCGGAGGCGGGCAAGGACGTCTGAGATGAGGGGGAGCGGGTACGAGTTCTTCACCGTGATCTCGTTCAGCTTCCTGTAGTCCTGGACCAGGCGTAGGGACCCGTCCTTCTTCTTGACGAAGAAGACTGGTGCTCCCATGGGGGATTTGGATGGCTGTATGCGCCCATTCTGTAGGTTCTTGCATAGGAACTCGTCCAGCTCTTTCTGTTCCGGGCACGAGAGTGGGAAGGTCTTCCCCCTGGGCAGTTTGGCATCCGGTACCAGGTCTATAGCATGGT